TCTAAATTTTTAAAGATATTTTAAATTTTAAAAAGAAATTTAAACTTATTTTAATAAGTAACTTTAATTAAAAAAATAAATATAATAATAATATTTAAAAAAATTTAATCTTTAAAACCAATAATTTTTTTAAAATTAATTAGGACCAATTAGGATCAATTAGGACTTTTACCAACCCTAATCATAGCGGGTGAGAGGGCCAGTCTAATGCGATCAGTTTGGTCAGAAATAGTTGGAGTATACATATTGTCAGTAGATAAAACTTTATATACTCCAATATATTTTTGCTAATGTTTAATTAATTTTTTTTGATAGTTGCAAAAAGAAGTAATAGCGAACTTAGATAGCAAAACGTAAAAGAAGGCCAGATACATTATTATACCATAGTGTAGTTTTCTTCATAATCATTATATAAAATATTGAAAGAAATCTACACTTTCTAGGTATGTACTCGAGTATGATATAACCTTCACATCGCAAAAAAAAAGTGTACAAATATGCATCTGAATGTGTAGGTAAGTGCGTATTCTATTATATAAATATTAGCACTTACCTACACTTTTCTAGATAAGTACTCGGGTATGGTAAAACCTTTATGCAAGATAAAAATATACCAAAAAAGTGATATTGAAGTTGGCTGACAGTGTTTACTTAATAAAAGCACCCGTTCCATTAGCGCAAATAAATACATTCTCTCTGGATATTCTTTTCAGAATGTTATATAAAATAATGGAAGAAGAATACCTATCACTAGTATGTACCTGGATATAGTGAGTTCTTTAAGACAAAAAAGAATCACGAATAAACAAATTCTTAATAGGTGATACTTAGGATAGTCTTTTGTGTAATCTATTATATAAATATTGGCAGAAGACTACCCTAATACTAGTATGTACTCGAACATATATGACACCTAGAGTAGGCAAGTGTATAGAAAAATTCATTTTTTTTTTACAATTTAAACGTAAATATTATACATTTATAGGGACACAATTTACTAGCATACATATACCAGCAACAAATAGGCAATAGTTGGATCGTGAAATGATGCATTTATGGCAATCAAATAGACTAGCTATAGAAATGCATATTGTATCTCCAATTCTCTAACCAATTGACTGTCAAAACAGGCTCTTGAAAGTAACGAGAAAGTATCAGGAAGGTTCTGAGACTCAAGATATAGTAAATTATGATAAATTCAGCCAACACTATTCCATAATTTCAGCTAAAACTTTGGATATAATAACTCGGTATTCAAGTTGGCATAAAACTGGTGAACTTATAGAATCTCTCTGGCCTCTTTGCTAATTCCATGATAGTTCCATGACAATTCTATACCAGTTTCACAATAATTCTATGACACTACCACAACACTATCATGGTGTCAAGCTGGATCCTTGAATTATGTGTCCAAAATATCAGCTGAAATTATGATATAGTGTTAGCCAAAATTAAATGTGAACTTATTGCATCACCTGACGCAATATTTTTTTACATTATTTTGACAATTTGAAAGATAACCAAATAAATAGATGTAAAGGGTAAACGTCTCAATATAAAATCTAGTACTCAATCAGATATAGAAGACCAATACCCTTATTATAAAACTAAATATCCAAATAGCTACAGAAGACTAACAGTCATAATATAGAAATTGGTATGCAAAAGACTCAAAAACAAGAAGAAAAGTGTGATATTTAAAACATATGGTGGTAGTTAGATTATATGGTGGTAAAAATATAAATAACAAGAAAGGTTAAAAGGGATGTCTAGAGCATAAAATAGATACCCGATGTAGGAAAACAAGTAGATTATATAGTTATATTTAAATTATATTATTTAGATTATATAGTGGTATCTAGATTATATTATTAAGATTATATGATGATATTCAGATTATATAGTAGTATTCAGATTATATGGTGATATCCAGATTATATAGTGGTATTCAAATTATATGGTAATATTCAGATTATATAGATTATATAGTAATACTATAATCTAGGGTAAGTGGTATACCACTATATAATATAATTATATTATATATTGGGTATACCACTGAAGTTACAAAATATTTGAAGAATTATATAATACTGAAACTACTGAAAAATTTTATATATCAGCACAAAAACTATAAAAGAATCTTAATGAATAGGATTTAATTCTAATGCATAATTTGCAAAGAATATTTATACAGTTATGTAATATGAAAAATGTGATAAATGAAAAGTTCTGTATTTAAAATCAAAACTTAATCATGAAGAATCTCTTAAATTAAGTAAATTTTTAGATAGTATTTAGTATACTTGTAGAGATATTTTTGAAAGTTTAACTTCAGAAATTCAACAAAATGAGTTTTTAGAATTATTTTTAAAAGTAAAGGTCAATAGTAAATTGAATTGTCAAAAAGACCTAGAAATTTCATATTATTTATGTAGATTGTGTTTCTTTGTAATAAGCAGTATGAATAAGAGGATTATTAAATCTATTTACAGATAATGAATTTTATTATTACTGTGATAAGTGTAGTGAAAATACAAATAAGAAAAAGAATAGTAAAACCAAATGTATGAAAAATCATCTATTCAATAATAGCCTTTAATAATTAGTTCCAAACACATTACTAGTTTATTGTTATAATATTTATTAAAAGAAGTTTTATATATAATTATATTAAATTTATACTCCTATTATCCATTTTTTATTATTTGATCACATGAAATAAAATTTGTTACTATAAAAAATCATTTCCCAATTTTTAAAAAATGTGACCCGGCGGGTTACAAGAACTTTGAGTTTGTCCGGCCTTACATGTATTATAATGGACAGAAGTATATTTTACTCTTAAGCAAATACTTTAAGGTTTCAGATTCTAAAGATATTTCAGAGATAGAAATAAAATAAATTTTTTTATTATCAAGTAGATTATCGAAATCGAAACAATTACTTTAAACTGTATAAATTCAATTCAAATCGATCGGCCAATCACGTTAAAGTCCTATGGAAATTGGAGACACCACTTGATGAAGAATATCTTAAAGATTTCGAGATCATTGTTGACTAAGAGAAGAGCAAGCAAACATTCTTTTCTGGATAAATAATACTCTTTTTGTTGGGAAATAGTAACAGGCAGGACCTGCTCGGTTGCTTGTCATTCAAGACTACAGATGCCTGCTCGGTTATCTGATTTTTCTGGTGGGATTGGGGAAATTGGAGACTTGACCCGATTTTAAAGCGGCGAGAAAGTGGGTCCAAAATACCTGTCACCTTACGGCAGCTGTATTGCTTAACACAAAAATTACAACAACTTCGTCTTCTCCAATAAAGGTTAGTGAAAGATGATATTTTGATAATATTTTATTATTCGAATAATTTACTTTGCTACTCATGTAATTAAATGCATATCGGGATTGACGTGACTTTGAAATGTATATCAACGTAGATCTATTTATATGAAGTGACTAGACTAATACATATAAAGATTTCCGATTACGATGTGGTGCGATTGGTACGATTTTTTTTTTTGATAATCTTGATAAAGGTATGTAGTGCGACAGTTATTTATAGTTAGAATTTGATTGTACGACTAAGGTAATTAATTTTTTTTTTGTCATTTATAAATTTTGATTTTTTGGAAAATTTTTTTTTCAAAAGATTTCTCTTTCTTTCTCTTATTTCATGATAATGTCCCCGATTGCTCTTGATAATACTATTATTGAACAAAATCCTTTTGAACCTGTAGAACTTACTAATGGCCTTACAAAAGATCCTACGAAGCCGTTTACAAATCAAGAAGAACAGCCGCAGCAACAACAACTGCCGCAGCGAGAGCGAGAACAAGAAAGCTCACAAGATAAAGGAACTGTACAAGCTATAGAGGACATCATGCAAGTGGATGATGAATCACAAGGAATGCAGGATAATACTAGCTTAGAACCGAAACCAGATCAACAAACTTCCTCACCGCAGCAATTATCACAACTATCTCCTCAGCCTGAACAAGAAGTGCAAGTCACGTCATCTCAAGTGCAATTACCAAATTCTGATAATGTTGAAATATATACTACAAATTCTAGTGACATGGAAGATATTATTGAATGCTCTCTCGAAGAGACTTTACTTAATGAAAATGAAGAGTGAGTTTTGACTTATTCTACTTTCGTTTGATAAATTAAGTCTTAATACCTTTCTGTATGTATTTTTGGTAGTTATGAAATGGTATCAAGAGCCGTTAATGTTCTTAAATTTCAACTCGAACAAGCGAAAGAAGATATTAAAAAACTAAAAGAAATAAAACAGAATGCTTTATCAGATCCGATAACGTATATCGAAAAACTACGTGATGGAGTAAGTATCAATAATTTCACTTATTTTAATTGTATCTAATTTTTTAAAATTATTGTTAAAACGCGTGATTTCCTGTTTATTAGACCAATGGAAAGATTCCTGAACGTCAATACATATTTGGTGTTCCACAAATCGATTGGAGTAAATATCATACCCGGCCTTCACAATATAAGCCGCCGCCATGTCCAGGTAGACCATTGAAATTCTATATAATATAATTGAGTAAATTAGACAGTTATATTAACTTGATTTGTAAGTTTAGAGCAAGATTCAGGAAGCAGTTCCAAGGTTTGTATGATCATAATCATCATTGTTGGATTCGTTAATATAATATTAATTAAAATCAATTATGATAGTCAAATGATACATCGACAAATGATCGAGGAAGCTCACCTGATCTCGCTGAATTTGTGCATAAAAAAGCTCAAGAGTTGGGTTTTAAAGTTCCCCCAAATGCGGTTTTGTCAACGCGTACTAAAAGGAAAACTAACCCAATTTTTGATGATGACTGTGTTTTTACACTTCCGCAGAGCGTGGGAGTCAATACACAAGTGTCAATGACTTCGAATAAAAAGGGGAAATTGGATTGTTATAGGACGTCATCATCTATATATAATACACCAATTAAACAAAGAGGAGGAAATAATACAATAAGAAATGGACTAGTGAGGTTGAGAATTATTTATAATTGAATATTTATTTTCTCTAATCAGAAATTTGGATATTTATAAATATTTATATATAGTGCAGCAGCTTTAAATAGTCCAATATTTAATACTCCTGAAGCGGATTCTAGTTGTTCATCCACTCCAACAGTACCATCAAATCGAAGAAATAATAAAAAGGTAATTAAGAATAACTTTTTAAATCCTAACGCTCTCATTTTAACAACCAATAATCGTCAGAAATCTAGTGAGATCAAATTACCAGAGGATTCGCCAAAACCAGTCAATTATAACATACCTTGGACAGATGAAGAACAAGTATGTAACTGTTCCAGTTTTATGATGATGATATTATTTATCTTTTTTATGGTAGTTTGAAATAAATTAACTTAAAGGTTTTCGTAAAATAAAAGCGTCGATTGGTAGAATTACTTGCAATTTATCCAGATGAAGAAATACAATCTCATCGGTTTAAGAAGATTTCTGAAGCTTTGGGTACAAGAACACCGAAGCAGGTTGTTTATTAAAATTCCTAAAAAAATATTTTTGATTCTATTTTATTATTATTGCTAACATTATCTACTTATATAAAGGTGGCTAGTAGGGTACAAAAATATTTCATAAAATTGGCAAAGCATGGCTTACCAGTTCCTGGACGAATACCTAGTGTTTCAGTAATTATTAGATAAAATCAGAAGTGTGTAGGGAGGAAAAAAGCAACTCTCCAACCTCCCTACATACCTATAATAAGTTCTTTTAGAATTTATAAAGAATACATATTGAATCTATTTTTATCTTTTTTTTATTATAAATTTATTTATTTTAAATAGTTTGCGACTACAACATCAAAGAATTCACAATCTAAGAATAAAAAGTCTGGGAGAGCATCAAAACCAAAACCGCCATCACTCTCTCCTGAAAAACGACCGCGACATCCAAGGTAAATAATTTGATTTTTTTTCAATTACATACCGAATAGATGTATTAAAGAGTTCTTTGAATATAAAAGAGTGTCTGGATTATCATATTTGGAAGAACGACCGCCGCCGACAGTATATATGCCTGATGATGATGATGAAAGTATGATCAAGGATGTAATGTTGTCAGTAGATCTTCCACATAACAATAATATACAACAGGTTCATTTTATTTTCCGGTTATGTTTTTATTCACTGTGATTTAAAAAATGTTTTCATATAAATTTTCTTTATAGACCTATAATGTTGTTACAGGGCCAGTACACCATGGTTTTTGCGTAAGTTTATTTAAAGAAAAACCAACTTTTTTATCATTTTATTTGTTTCAATTTTTTGACACGTAATAATTTTTTCAAGTGTGATGGATGTCATACTGATCCAATAATTGGGACAAGATATCTTTGCACGGAATGTGATGAAAGTCATGAGGTTGACCTATGCGAAGATTGCTTTGGAGAAGAGTCTTTTGAAAATGGTAAAATTTTTCTTTAAAGTATATTTTGTTTTTCTTCTCTCTTTTATTGACCTTTTTTAAAAATATAGAATTTCACAAGAAAACACATAAATTTTCAGCAATCACTAATCCTATAACCCCTCATATTGATATGGACTATGTATCTGAAAGTGTTGGAGAGTATAGTTATTTGGGTGTTGCTCCACCTCCTGCATCATAATATTAAAAATATAATAATGGTTTTAACTTAATAAAAAATTTTTTTAAAGGTTTAATAATGATTTTGAGCTAATTGCATGAGATTAATAAAGTTCTGTCATTAAGTTATTGAAGTTTTATGTATAATAAAAAAAAATTACTTTTATATTATTTAAAAGATTTAAAAGATTTAAAAATAAATTATATTAATAATAGTTTCTAATATACAGTGGTACAACCGTCGCACCTTTGGGGTCAGCGAAAATCATGTGAATGTGGGGCAGTAGCCTATTTGAATTTCCCTCCAACATAACTTGTAGATGCTGAAAAATGTCTTTACCCGTTGTATCCGATGTTGCTAAACAAATCATAAATCTTCCTTGTCCTTTCTACTTTTTTCTCAATACTATTTTTCGAGAGATCACTTGGAAGCTGTTTTGTAACTTCTTTGATGAGCCTTACGTTCTCTATAAATGCTTTTGAATCTGTCAAACATATTTTCAAGTTCTTCCTCAAACGAATAATTTCGCCTAATAATTTCTTGATTTGTACTGCTATTTTGTTCCTCAGCCGTAATAATCGCAGTTAAATTACCTGTGGCAGTGGTGGTCAATGCAGGTGATGCTAACTTTTCGATAAGCTTAGATGTCTTCTGCTTCTTACTGGACGATTTTTCAGTAGAATCATGCGAGCGGACTTTGTCAGATCCTTGGCTTTTTCCCACTTCTCTATTGCGCTTTCTCTGTGCGTCATTTAGAGCTGATTCGTTTCCAAATCTTCAATTAAGGGGCAAATGTAAAGACTCCTACCTATCACCACATAATTCGTGGTCAGATATAAATCATGATAAATATATGGTATTAAGTATGATATACCAAGAAATTTACGAGACTGAGCGGTCCCGGAAAATTGCCAAGAAAAAACACATTGATGTCAATAAAGTTTTATTGTTCCGATGCACGCACGCAAAATGTATACAGGTTAAAAAAATAATGTAGTACGAAAAATCTAACTGAGACAATAGTTATTACCACAGTTATATAACTTGTCTTTTCTATAGATATCTGAAAATTTTTATTTCGATTGAATGGTTTTATATTGGTAAAAAAGATATATATAAAGTATCATATTCACGCTAACTATTTCTGTGATAGACTCCATAAAATTATATGAAATTTTCTAGTTTCAGTATATTGCGTCATATTAATCTGAAACGGAAAAAAGGCGAACAGTCATATATGCATAACATTGAACCTTAATAGAAAGTCTTTTTGACTGTTGAGGAGATAAAAATAAACCAATGGCAAAACTCACCTTGTTTTATAGGTTTTGCATCAAGCATCCTCCTCGGTTCAAGAATCGAATTCAAGATTTTTGCGATGACCGCTGTGATTGAGAAATAGTTATAATAGAAATATGAAGTTTTCCAGCTCCCAAATGGAAAAGGTTGGCGCATGACTTATGAAGTTAGCAATATTACTAGTTAAACTATAACCTTATGCACGAAGAGTGAATGTGTATTTGTCAAGTCAAAAAGAGTACGTTTGGTTAATACAAGTCTTCGACTACTATCTCTACCTACGAAACATGTTTTTCGTTTACGATTTCGTCCTTGCCCACCTACAAAACATGCGTTGCACGTTTTTTCGGCTTCGACCAGTCACCCGCCTACGAAACACGTATCGTACGTGTTTTTTCGGCTTCTCCTGGAACTGCCCAGATCCACCTACTGAAACATACGAAACGTTTCTCGGTTTCACAACACCTACGAAACACAAGAAAGTGTTTCGAGGCTTATCCCACCTACCAAAACACAAGAAGTGTTTCTCGGCTTCGCAGCTAGAAAACTTGTATTATTGCCAAAGTACTAGAGTGAGAAAAGTACTGAGAAAGAATTTTTTAGTAAAATGTCTTTTTTTCAGATCAAGGTATTTATGATTTCACTAATTTACTCACCAGCTTTCCTGATTTTGTCACCAACCTAACATAAACAGGAGGAACCGTACCTAAAAATAGAACAGGTTACACAATTTATCAAAGTCGTAATTTATACAATTTAAAGTACTTTTTCGGAAGATTC